TATTGAAGCGACCTGTTACTAAATTTATAAAATCACAAAGGAAATGAGCTAAATAAGATGAACATGAACTTATTTACCAGTATACCAAGGCTAGTTGGGGAGCTTCTCGCTGCATGGACAAATTCAATTTGGGACACAAATAGGTAGAGCCTTTTAAACCTCTATAGATAGCCTGTATTACAGATATCAAGACTGAAGAGTGGGCCAGACAGATGAGGAACTGGATGGGGAGAGTTGGGGCCTAAAATCTGTAGCGTTTGCCTCATGCAGTTGAGGCTATCCTAGAAGAGGTCGGCTTTCATGCCCCACACCAAGACATGTTTCCATTGTTGTGCTGCAGCAGAATCAGCAGGGACCTTTGATGTCCTTTTCACATTTGGAATTGTAGCTCCAGCAATGCTAATTGTGCTAATGCTAAGATATTCATTGTTGTCTTAAATCATTTTAGAAAGAGAAAGATGATAAGTGGAAAAGAGGGAGTGAACCAGCTCCAGAGAAAAAGATGGAGCCTGTTGTTTTTGAGAAAGTGAAAATGGTAAGTGGGAAAATGCCCTCACTGCAGCGTGATCTGGGGTGTTCACATGGATGGAGGAGGAGGGGCAGAGGCTTCAGGATGGGTTAGTGGATCTGAAGCCATATTGTACCTTCGCGCCAGGAACTAAAGGGCTCTGCCTTAGAGCAAATCACCTCTGCCATGTCTGCTTCTTGCCCATTGCCTGTTGCTATCTAATGTGCTCTGTAGCTCTTCTCCTTGAGGCCAGATGGGAGTTTGGGAGCTATACCTGTCCCTTCTAAGGAAGATACACTTTCCATGCCAGAATACCATGGCAATGTGGTACCTTCTGTTTTACTTTCTTTCTTTCTTACTGCTCCCATAAAAATACTGAACCAAAACCAACTTGGGGAGGAAAGAGTTTATTTTATCTTACATCTCCCAGGTTTATCATTAGGGAACTCAGGCAGGAACCTGGAGGCAGGAGCTGAAGCCTGGACCATGGATGAACACTGCTACTTGCTCCCCTGGCCTGTGCTTAGCCTGTTGCTTTTTCTTTTCTTTTCTTTTTTTTTTTTTATTTTGGCTTTTTGAAACAAGGTCTCCCTGTAGCCCCAGCTGGCCCGGAACTCCCTATGTAGACCAAGCTGACCTTGAACTCACAGAGATCCTTCCTCTGTCTGGGACTAAAGGCATGTGCCACCACACCCCGGCTATGATGCTAATTTGTAATCTTTTTTTTTTTTTTTTTGAGGCAGGGTTTCACCGTGTGGCCCTGGCTGGCCTAGAGCTCATTATGTAGACCAATCTGGCCTTGAACTCACAGAGATCTACTTGTCTCTGCCTTCTGAATGCTGGGATCAAAGGAGTGACCACCATGCCCTACTTAGCTTATAATTTTAAGCAACAGGATTTCTACAAAATCCTTGAGAATTGTGTTGTCTGTGGAAATAGTCACTGGTGATAGTGGCAAAGGAGATTAGCAATCTTTTTTTTTAATTTATTATTTTTACTTTATGTCTATGAGTGTATTGCGTACATGTATGTGTGTGTACCCGTGTTGTGCAATGCCGCTGAGGTCAGAAGAGAGCTTCGAATTCCCCTGGAACTAGAGTTAAGAACGGTTCATACCCAGGTCCTCTGCAAGAGCAGTCAGTGCTCTTAACCACTGAGCCATCTCTCCAGCCCTGAGATTAGCGATCTTTAAGCTCCTTTGGTATAAAGTAAAGGTTTTCTAAACACAATGAGAGATTAATTGACTCTTTTTTTTTAAATTTAAAAACATTTATTTATTTGTATTTATTTGTGAGTATATGTAGGTGTGTGCGCATGCCACCGTAAATGTGTGGAGGTCAGAGTACTTCTTGCAGGAGTCCATTCTCACCTTCTACTGTGTGGGTCCTAGGAGTTAAATTCAGGATGTCAGGCTTGGCAACAAGCATCTTTACCCACTGAGCCATCCCACTGACCTGGCTCCTTGACTCCTGTACCATCCCTTTATTCTCGATTTTTTTTCTGGGACCGAAAACAGCTTCTATTAAGTGCTTGCTCAGTGGCTGATTGGCTTCAGAAAGAGCTGCCTCTCCAGAAAGCTAAGCAAGCAGACTGTGGTTTGTTTTTTTACTTCAGTTTCTGTTGTTCATGCTCTCATGCTTCCTGGCACTTCCTGAGTCTTGTTTCTTTGGTAACTGTCTTTAAAATAGCCATACCACAAGAATACCTGTGGCTTGGGGGGAGGGGGTCAGGGACCCCGAAATCTGCAGCCCCTGTCATGGACTTGTTGGGCCTTGGTAAGAGTTAGGCTATTCAACTCCCATATACTTGCAAATTTGGTGAATTCTGTGATCCTGGGAGGCTGGACTTGAGTTTGTGTCTACTACTAAGATTTGCCTCAAGCTCTTCCCCTTAATTTGTATCTGACCAGTTCTCTAAGTGTTTGCTGGGACATCTTTCAAGAAACAGTTCAGTGTAGTGGTAAAGAGCATGGCCTTTGGAGGGGAGCCTAAAGGTTACTTACTGTTCCACTCACTGTTGGTGATCTTAAGAAGTTTACTTAATCTCTGAATGCTATTTTCATAACTTTGCAGTATGGTTGGTCAGTCTCTACTTCAAAAGTATTATTGAAAGGATTACCTCTAAAGCTCTTAGCCCTGTACCTGGTTCATACTAAGTCCTCAATAAATGTTGGCAAGTTCACTAAACAGCACTTTGAGCCTTTCCACCTTCCTGTACTCTGGCGCCTGCCATTATCCCTTGATTTTTCCTGTGTGACCATTTTCTGAGATGGCCTGTTGCAATCATTTCTCCCTTTGAAATCCTGATTTTGCCACTCAGAGAAAAAACCTGCTCTCTATCCCTGACAGCATTTTTGTTATACTTTGGGTCCGCTGCTGCCGATTTAGGTTATTAACCTTTAGTTTCCATATCTTTCACTTCTCTCTGAAAATGAATCTTTCATACCTTGTCCTTCCCATAGCCAGGAGGGAGCTAGCTATCCCCCTAGCTGTGCTAGTGATGTAGCCTTCAGGCCTGAGTTTTTGCTGCCCTATAACAGTGGGCTGTAGGCAACTGCAGAGCATTTGTGGGAATATGGAGTGAGGCCTCTTTCTAAAAATCCTATCAAGCCCCCTGTGCCCAGAGATCAGACTTCTAAGACTAGCTGGAACCTATGGTCTTCCTCTGTCTACTTCTTGTTTAGAATGGAAGATGTGCTTTTAATGAGCTGTGCTGCCTTTTAAATTCTGTCTTTCTTTCTAGGTGCTCCTGTGGCCTGCTCCATTGCAAATAGTAAGACCAGCAATACCCTAGAAAAGGACTTAGATCTTTTGGCCTCTGTTCCATCCCCTTCTTCTGTTTCCAGAAAGGTGAGTCTTCTGTACTTCCTGGGATTAAAAACTATTCTGGAAAGGTTGATAACTTAATCATGGCACTGCATCATGCTTCCTTGGTGGGACTGGACTTTGTTTCTCTTCATTCTTTCTTTGACATTGTCATTTGTCGCAGCCTAAGATTACTGTTCATACCATTTTGTCTTTTGTCTCAAAAGGGTGGCCACTTGAGTGGGTCTGTATCACTGGAGTGTCATACTGTGCTACTATGTCCCAGGAACAGTGTCAGTGTCATTTGTACATTTCATTAATACTTTCGTATCTTACACTGGAACTCCCCAGAGTGAATATTTTGCAGATGAGGAGAGGTTATGGAACTAGTCTCTGATTATATAACTGGTAAATGGCTATGTCAAATCTATTTTGTGGAGGGGCGGTGGCTAGGGTCTAAACCCAGGGTCTTATACCTGCTAGGCAAACACTGAGCTATATCTCCAGCCAGTACATTGGTATCTAAACTCAATTCTCTGTGCTTTATCATTTGTGGGTTATTTTTATTTTTTCCTATCAAATAATACTGTTTTATTGAAGAACAAAGAATTGTACCAGAGCCTAACTCTCACGTATTTTCAGATATATTTATTTTTGAGGCAGGGTCCCACTGTGTCACCCTGGCTGGCCTGGAATTCCCTATGTAGACCAGACTGGCCTCAAACTCACAGAGATCTGCCTGCTTCTGCCTACCAAGTGCTGGGATTAAAGGTGTGTGCCACCACCCCTGGCCTGTTTTCAGATATTTTTATGGTGAAAATATCAAGAAGATATTAACTGAACAGGGGCCATGAATTATCTCTTTCTTTCTTCTTTCCATCCCTCTCTCCCTCTCCTTCTTTCCGTCTCTTTCTCCTTTCTTCCTCTTCTCTCCCCCTCCTCCCTCCCCCTTTCTCTCCTCCCCAACCCACTTCTTTTTTTAGACTGGTCTCACACTGTAGTCTAGGCTGACCTGGAAATCACTGTGTATCCCTGGTAGCCTCCAGTTGTCAGCAAGCCTCCTGCCTTAGCCTTCTGACTTCTGAGATTGTAAGTGTGATCACCAGACCTGACTCATGAGCCCTGAATTCTTACATGCTAGAAGCAGCAGAAATGTGGGGGTCCTTACAAAGACTTCCATGAGGACCATTTTGATTCTCCCACCACAGTCTGTGTCCTAAAGTTGTAGGTTCCATGCCAACTGCAGGAAGCGCTGGTTCCGTTCCTGAAAACCTGAACCTATTTCCAGAGCCAGGGAGCAAATCAGAAGAAACAGGCAAGAAACAGCTCTCAAAGGATTCCATCCTTTCACTGTACGGATCCCAGACGCCTCAGATGCCTACTCAAGGTAGAGTCCATGGAGTCCTGGAGAGTGCCAGGGAGAAAGGCACTGAGGACAAAGATCCAAAAATTACTTATTTATTATTATTTGTGTTCAAATTTTATTCAGCTGTGAAGAAAAGAGAAATTAGGAAATTCTCAGGAAAATGGATAAACTGGAAAATATATTAAGGGAAGTCATCCAGGCTCAGAAATACACATACCACATGTTCCCTCTCGTGTGCAGGTTCTAGCTTCTAATTATCATATATGTTTATTGATGCTCGAGTAATTGTGGGGAAAGGCCAGGAAACTAGGGGTGAGAGGAGAAAAGAAGCTTGAAGGGAAGGGTATGGGAAGATAAATGGAACATGTGACATGAAAGGGGAAAGGGAGTGCAAGAGGCAGAGGGTACAGTGTGGGGTCCAGGAGGGGACGGAGAGGAGACTGTGTCAGAGAATCATCCAAAGCTAGCACATATGAACACCACAGGAAACTGTTACCTTGCATACTAATTTATAAAAAATTATTTGTTGTCATAAGGAACAGTAACTCTGGGACCAGGGATGTCATATATAAAACAGATTTGAAGGTGACATTGCTAGGGAAGCCACAAAGATAGACACACTGTCATCAGAGCCCTACTTCTGTAGGTGTGTCACGCCTCTGTGGAGTCTGACTCAGTTTGGGTCTGACCCCTAAAAGGGAGGTGACTAGACTAGAGGGAGGGCAAGGCTGGTAGAGATCCATCTAACCGCTCTGCTGTGTAGAACAGATTTTTGCGTTGAGTAGTTTTTAACTTCTACCAGGAAGTTTGGGCTAACTATGCCTCTTCCTCTTTAACACCCATATGTGTGTTTTCTTGGCAGCAATGTTCATGGCTCCTGCTCAGATGGCCTATCCCACAGCTTACCCCAGCTTCTCTGGGGTTACACCACCTAACAGCATCATGGGCAGCATGATGCCCCCGCCAGTCGGCATGGTAGCTCAGCCAGGAGCTTCTGGAATGGTTGCCCCCATGGCCATGCCTGCAAGCTATATGGGGGGCATGCAGGCTTCAATGATGGGTGTACCGAATGGGATGATGACCACCCAGCAGGCAGGCTATATGGCAGGCATGGCAGCTATGCCCCAGACTATGTATGGGGTTCAGCCAGCTCAGCAGCTACAGTGGAACCTTACTCAGGTAAGCAACCTCGTTTTACCTGGGACAAGCCTACAGAGCCCTCTGCAGTGTTTCATGTGGTACTGCTCCTTTATCCCCTAGATCCTTTCCGTGTAGAGGCCAGAGACATACCTAGGCTTGCCTTTTTTTCTCTAGAAGGCCTGTTTGAAGTTAAACTTTCTTAGGAATCCTGAGTTCCTGTGGAATGAGACATGTAGTCTAAATCTGAGTCTCTCTATAACTTCACAAAAGCAAAAACAGAGAAAGCTCTGCAGACAAACAAGGAATACAAACCAAACCAAGGAATACAAACATAACTACGACTGTCACTGTCACAGACTTTGAATGACATGGCAGGAGGCGTAGAAACACCCGAATCCGGATGAACCAGCACCACAGAAGAACCTGCAAAAAGAAGAGGGGGAGCAGCGGCCTAGAGGCAGCAGAGCACAGATGAAGCCTCCTCCAGGAGGAGGGCCCATGCATGTGGAGATGTACTAAGAGCAGATCAAGCTCAGGCATCGCAAACATAGGGCTTGAAACACACAGGACTGTCGGTGTAAGGTGGAAAGGTTTTGCACGTGGGGGAGGTAAGCATGATTAGGAAAAGGAAACTCTGGAGATCCAGAAAGAAAAGAAATGAGAAGTAGAAGAGATTCACAAAATCGGAAGACAGAATGTTTTCCTTTCCAAGTCCTTCTACTAACAGAAGACATTGCTCTTGAACTCACATCTAGTTAGCCTCCCCAAACCTTCAGATCTGTCTGCAGCCTCAGAAGAATGAAGCACTACAAAATAAGTGGGAATGTAGGAGTTAGTGTTCTTATAAACCTATGAGGAGAAAACAAGTCAAAACACTTCTGGGAATGAGAGATGGCTCAGCAGGTAAGAGCACTGGGTACTCTCGCAGAGGACCTAGGTTCAGTTCCCAGCACCTACATAGCAGCCAACATCTGTCCCTAACTTCATTTGCAGGGGATACAACACCCTCTTTTGGCCTCAGTTGGCATTGCACAACAAGCGTACACTTACACAACATGTAGGCAAAAGACTCATACACATAAAAATAAAGATTTTAAAAAATATTTTATTCATTATTTTTATTTTATGTGTATGAGTATATTGTCAGCATGTATGTGAGTGCACCCGTATTGAGCAGTGCCGCAGAGGTCAGTAGAGGGCTTCAGATTCCCCTGCAACTGGAATTAAGGACAGTTCATAGCTGTCATTTGAGTGTTGGGAATTAAACCCAGGTCCTCTGCAAGAGCAGTCAGTGCTCTTAACCACTGAGCCATCTATATAAAGATTTTTTTTTTAAGTCATGAAAAGCCAGGTGTGGTGGCACATGCCTTTAATCCTAGCACTTTGGGAGGCAGAGACAAGCAGATCCCTGTGAAACTGAGGCTAGCCTGGTCTACATAGTGAATTCCAGACCAGCTGGGGTTACAGGGAGACCCTGTCTCAAAAAATAAATGAACAAAGTAATGAAGCAGAAGAAAACTGTTATACAGTTTACCATTTTGAATAAAGTACCCTTGAACAAACATTTGCAGATAAGACCAAACAACTTGAAGCCAGGCATAGTGACTGATACCTGTAATCCCAGCACCCGTGTCTTGCAATGCTCACAGAGGTCTGAAGTGGTCGTCAGATCTCCCGGAACTAGATACAGATGGTTGTTAGCTACCATGTGGGTGCTGGAAACCAAACCCAGATCCTCTGCAAGAGCAACCAATGCTCCTAAATACTGAGCATCTCTCCAGCCCCCATGCCAGCTTTTTTGACAAAGGACTGATGGTAAGCATTGAATGTTTAGTTGAGAATCTAAAAACTGAAACTAAGATAGAAGGCTGGGGATGTAGCTCATTTGGTAGAGTGCTTACCTAGCAATGCATGAAGCCCTGGTTTCTATCCCTAGTACCACAAAAACCCGTTTGTGTAGTGGTTTAGAATCCCAGTTCTTGGAGTTGGAGGTAGTAAGATCAGAACATCCTTGGCTATATAGTGAATTCAGGATTAGCCTAGTATACTTGAGACCCTGTTCAAACAGTGAAAATAAAACAAAAGTAGAAATAAGGTAGAAAACCTTTTCTGACAAGCAGAATAATATAGTAAAAAAATATAGATAGTAATTTAGCCAAGTGATCAAACATAAAGTTATTAACAATGAAACATAGGTAGCGTGTCTTTCCTGATAACTTATATCCAGAGAGGCACAACATCATCTACATCAATTTCTTGCCAAAAATATGTAACTTGAGAAAATGTAAGAGAAATACAAATTGAAGTATATTCTACAGCATAACTGGCCTGGATTCTTTAAAAATGTCAGTATCAGGGCTGGAGAGATGGCTCAGTGGTTAAGAGCGCTGACTACACTTGCAGAGGCCCCGGGTTCGATTCCCAGCACCCACATGTTGGCTATGAACCATCCTTAACCCCAGTTCCAGGGGAATCCAATGCCCTCTTCTGACCTCCGTGGCATTGCACGACACGGGTGCACTCACATACATGCAGGCAATACACTCATACACATAAAAATAATAAATAAAATATATAAAAATGTCAGTATCATTTTTTAATGATTAATAGTTAAAGGTGTGGTGATGCATGCCTTTAATTCCAGCACTCAGGAGATTGAGACCAGCCTGGTCTACATAGTGAGTTCCAGGCCAGCTGGGGCTACAGGGAGACCATGTCTCAAAGGGAAGATTTTAAAAAAAAAGTCAGTATCAAGGTGGAGATTTGGCTCAGAGGTTAACAACCCTGACTTCTTGCAGAGGACCTGGGTTCAGTTCCCAGCACCCACATGGTCACTAACAATGATCTGTAACTCCATTTCCAGTGCTCTCTTCTGGCCTCTGGGCAGTGCATGCACAGGTACACTTACATACATACAGATAAACACTCATACAGATAAAATATTTTCTTAAATGTCAGTATCTAAGGGAAGAAAAGGAAGTGTGGTGAGGAAACTTGTAGATTAAAGGAGAGAAAAGAAATAAGACCCAATACAGCGCATATCAGATGCTGTAGTGGCATTACGTTCTTGAGTGTGTTGGTATGGCTCTAGGAATTGTTCACTCTCATGAGCTGCCTCCTGACCGATAGGGGCGAAATGGCATGACACCTTCAACTTTCAGTACTCCAAGTTATTTTTAAAAGTTTTGTGTACACACACACACACACACACACACACACACACACACACACCATGTGTATGTATACACAGAAAAAATAAGGTAAGATTCTAACAATGTGGGTTTTGATGTTTTTTTCAGTTTTTCTCTGATTTCAATTTTAAGAAAGCTGAAATTTTCTGAAAATGTTGGTGCAAGACCATGAGCTTACGCCAAAAATGAGATTGAGACCAGCCTGGTCTATATATCGAATTCCAGACCAGCTCTGGATACAGGGAGACCCTGTCTCAGGACAGCTGGGTCTATAGGGAGACCCTGTCTCAAAAAGGCCAAAAAAAAAAAAAGCAAAAAGACACTTTGGTTCCTTTCCCTTCTTTGTTGGAACAGTCCAGTTTCTCCCACCCCCATCATCTCTATTAGCAAGCACACACAAGTGCTGACACTGACAGTAATGCCTTCTAAGAGGGGTTGAGGCCAAGCGCTGCAGCAGGGGCCTGCCTTTGTTCTTCTGGGTAGGCTGTGGCTCCTTTCATGAGGGTATGAGGAATAGGGGCTGGGGAGGGAGTAGAGCCACTCCTGCTGGTTTTCTGCTGACTAGACACCAGACGCCTGCTTCCCTTCCTCACAGACAGAAGAGCTCCTATTTCTTTGCACAAATTGGCTGAGTGCCCACAGCCAGGTCTGAACGTCTCCTCTCTCTTTCAGATGACCCAGCAGATGGCTGGGATGAACTTCTATGGAGCCAACGGCATGATGAGCTATGGACAGTCAATGGGCAGTGGAAATGGCCAGGCAGCCAATCAGACTCTGAGTCCTCAGATGTGGAAATAAAAGCAGAGCGCCTGTATGGCTGCCATTCTCAGCCCTTGCTCTCCCCCTTCCTCTTCTTTCCCCAGCTCTCCACCTTTTCCCTTTTTCCTACCTCTCTCTGTTTGGTTTAGAAATTGCTCAGTAAGTCATCTGGGGTTTGGCATCCTGCCCAACCCAGCCACTTCCCAAACTCCGCAGACCTCTCTGTTGCTTTATGTTGGTCACATCCCCTGGCTGTCCTGATTTCTTCCCCAGCCCTGCCCTCTCGTGGCACCAGCACCTTAGAAATTATTGGCAGAAGAAGGCACTTGAACTGCAGGGGAAATGCATACACTGTTCAGTACCTTCCCTCGAGGTTGTGCCTCCTCAGACCCTTGGAAAGGTCTGTAGGCACTGAGTATCTGGCAGAGGGGAGGGTGCAGAGGGCCTTCTTTCTGTGTTAAGAAACTGTTTCTGAGTGTTGAAAGTTTTGCTTGAAGAGGGAGACATCGTGTTCCCAGTGTCTTGCACTGGGTAATGAAGCACTGCAATCAAATACTCCTTGGGTCTTGGCTCAGGTTGACCCTGGCCCTGGAGTGAGGCAAGCCCCCTCCTATGAGGACGAGCAAAAATATCACTCCACTTCACCCTGAGTGCTTTCTGGATCTGGGGCTTTAAGGACTCGCTGCTTCAGTCAGCCTTTATCAGCACCAAAGACTATGAAGGTCCCACACGCACACATCCCTTGCCCTCCTGCCTGCTTTGAGCAGGGTCCAGCCTCATTGGCTGGAGGACCAACCCCTCTGGAGGAATGTGAAGCTTAACGTGTGCACTGCTCTGTGTGTGTGTGTGTCTGTGTGTGTGTATGTGTGTGTGTGTGTATCCCACTTGCCACCCTCTCCCCATCTGCTCTGGGTATTTTTTGTTTGTTTTATGTTTACAACAGAGAGGAGTTAATTTTCCAACAGCCTAAAACTGTTGCCAGTTTCTCTTATAGTTTAAAAAACTCTCCATCTCATTGACAGCTCCCTTTTTCCTTTCCCTTCTCCCGTTTGCCAGCCACTCTTTGATGCCTGCGTATCTGAGTGCTCTGTTGGCCCACCTTTTCTAGGTGTGTGAGGCAGAGAGCCTGGACAGCTTTTCTCTCAGCCATTGTTCACCCCCCTTGAAAATTCAAACAAGAAAACTTCGCTTCAAAGATTTCATGTGTGGGAACCACAATGCCTGGTTGCCTTTCTCCTATGTATGTGTAAATTCCTTAATAAATACTGCAGGGAAGGACCATCGTGCTTGGCTATGTCTGTGTGTCACTCTGAAGATAGTAAGGTACATACAGGATTTCTGCTTTCCAAGCGCAGTCGCTGCCTTCACTTTTGCATTTTAAAGAATTCTGTTCTTGGTGTGTCAAGGGCCAGGCCCAGCTCCAGTAAAAAAAAAGGAGGCCTCTCTCCAGTGGTGTCCAAGGTTGTAAGCTATGGGAACTGGAGCTCTGCACTGTTAAAGGTCATGGAACATTAGAACTTGGAGCATGTCTTCTCTATAGATGGAGAAGCTGAGACCCAGAGAAAGAAAGGAGTTGTCAGGCATCTACGTTTCCTTGGCAAAACCCATAGTAGTCTCCAAGTCTACACTTCCAGCTCCGTTCTTTCCCTGTATTGGATGATTAAACAGGGGGTTTAAACTCTTCTTACCAAGCTAGGTGTGATCTATGTCTGACACTCAGGAGGCAGAGGCAAGCAGATCTCTGTGAGTTTGAGACCAGCCTGGTCTGCATAGCAACTTCCAGGTCAACCAGAGCTGTTCAGTAGACATTGCCTCAGAACACAACAAAAACCTCTTCTATACCAAGAGAGCAATAGCTCCTGCTGGTTGCTGGGTAAACATAACTGGCACTCTCTGAGCTGTGAGAGCACAGAGGAACTGAACTTCTCAATCAGAGTCATGGATTAGAGAACACTCAGCCTGAGGGGTGGTGTGAAATGCAAAGGGAAATTGTCTGTAGTGCTTGACTCCCTTTCTGTTCTCTGAGGATAGTACTGTGGACCTCCCTTCCCCATCTTCTGCCTCCATCTCCTCTCCTTTGAGTAGGTGGGAGGACAGCACAGCAGCCCCTCTTGCTGAGGCTACTGGGGTCCACAACCCTTCTAACTGGGATTCCAGCAGACCACTAAACCCATGGGTCATAGTGTAAAATGGAGCTAATTATAATCTTAATACAAAATAATTCCCATGGTTTATTTAACACAATATAGGTTCAGTAAGCGTTCAAATGGTAGTCAGACTTAGGCATTAATTCATTCAACAAATATTTAAGAAATGCTAACCATGTGCCAGACACTGTTTTTGAAGCACTAGAGATAAATTACTATAAATAAAAATGCAATAAATAAGAATACTGCAATTAATTGGGTAATTCAGGAGGAAAGATGGACGATACATTAGTTTCAGAGAGCTGTGTGGGGATTTGTATGGAGTGTAGCCAGAAGACGTTGCTTTTTTTTTGGTCTTTTTGAGACAGGGTCTCCCTGTAGCCCCAGCTGTCCTGGAACTCACTATGTAGACCAGGCTGGCCTTGAACTCACAGAGATCCACCTGCCTCTGCCTCCCAATTGCTGGGACTACAGGCATGTGCCACCACGCCTGGCAAGACGATGCATTTTAACAGACCTGAATAAGCTCCCAGTGATGGGAGACTGGAGAAAGAGTGAAACAAATGTGATTGTATTGTTGGAAGTGATTGGCTAGAAGCACGGTTTGGGAGGTGTCAAAGTATGGATGAATTCATCTGGGAGGCAGCATGCAGAGAAGAGACCTGAGCCTTGGGACCTCATTCATGCTTTTCTCTTATGCTTATAGGACAACAAATGTGTAATTGCTCATGTAGTGGATTATGAGAGCTGCTGGGTCGGGGGGCACCAGTTAAGAATCCTTCCTGAAAATGGTGGCATTTGAGCTGAGTCTTAAGAGAGGTAGCGGTTAACCAGAGGGTAGAGGCAAGGGGAGGGGTATTCCGCATAATGCCGTGAAAACAAGAAGCCACAAGAGCTTGGACCTTTTGGAGAGGCGGGAGCGGCCTCTCCAAAAGGTATAAAATGAGTCTGGTGTGTGGTGAGACAGGTGAAGTTGGCCAGGGCATGGGAGTGCTTCCTGTCCCTCATGAAAGAGTTTAAGCTGAAGTGTGAGCAGTAGGTGACATGTTCAGATTTCAGTTCCAAATAGCTTGCTCTTGTATCATGTGTCTGAGGAAACAAGATCAGAAGCATGGGCCTAGAAAGATCGCCAAGCTGAACTAGGATGCTGGCACAGGGCTAGGGAAGAACGGAGACACTCGGAGTGGCATTTTCATGCCTGATTGGTGAGGCACAGGAGATGCTGCAAAGTATTCCTTCAAAATCCTAGAATATGCTTGGGAGGGTTTGTGTACTATATCACCTCATGTGTGCCTGCAATGTAATAGCCTCATAATGGCTCTGAAAAGTCCCGTGAAAATGAGTTTTTCATGGTTTTCTGGCATTTACTGTGGAATCCATTTTTTTCTAATAACCATGGAACACCGGTTGGGAAAAGCAACCAGAAAAGTACTTGATGAGATAGGACTGGGGGTTATAATGATGGCTAGAGTGTGGGGTGGAGGGAAGGAGTGAAGGACATTACATGAGTCTCAGGATATGCCAAAGAATTTATAGAAGCAGATAAGTAAAAGTTTGGTTTTAGGCACGATGTATCTGGGTTGCCTGTCATATCAGGTCTGTTCAAACAGCTGGGAATTGGATTTAAGAGTCTGAAGTTCAGGGCTGGAGAGATGTGTCAGTGATTAAGAGCACTGACTGCTCTTGCAGGGGACCTGGGTTCAAGTCCCAGCATTCATATGGAGGCTAACAACCATTCCTAACACCAGGTTCGGGGGATCCAGCTTCCTCTTCTGACCTCCCTGGGCATTGCACAACACGGGTGCACTTACATGCAGGCGATACACACAAAAAAATAGTTAATAAAGAGTGAGGTTCTAACAAGAGGTTGGACTAGAGAAACTAATTTGAGGTTAGCCCCATGGAGATGGTAGTTGGTGCCTGGAATGGACAGGATTAGAAAGAGTAGAATAGTAATGTCAGAACAGTGGACTAAGAACAGAACCTTGGGGAAATCGTTCATTTTGAATAGGAGTTGAAGATAAATGGCTCAAAGAGCAGAGGTGGTGGACTGGGGGTAGATGCATAATCAGAGAATCATGGGAAATGAAGTAAGCACACTTAATGTGTCATACAAAGATTCTAGGGACTAGACTATCTAGATGGAGAGATTACTGCCGCTGAATCAGCAGGGAAATTCAGTGGCAATAAGGATAGAGAGGGGCTGTCCTTCAAATGGGTTCAGCATTTGAAAATGGATGCAGGAGCACTTTCAGGGCAATGGTAGGGCCAGAAACCAGACTTTGCTGGGCTGAAGACTAAACTGAAATTATTTAAAAACGAGAGAAACAAGCTGTGTCACGCTAAGAAATGGGGTATGAATTCCAAACCAGTGAAGAGGAACACAGAAGGAAATGCAAAACAAAAACCCCACAAAAAATGCCAACTGTCTGCTTCACTCCAAAGGAAAAAACAAAGTAACAAAGTTTTTGTTTTTGTTTTTTGTTATGACTTTAAAACATTTTTATTACATTATTGTGTGTGCACATGCATTGAGGTACATGTGCGATCAAAGGACAGCTTTGTGGAATTCTTGCCTTCCACCTTTTACATGGGGTCCAGGGATCGAACTCATGTGTTCAGGCAGGTGCTTTGCCTGATAAGTCATCTCATTTGCCCTTTTTGTTGTTGTCATTTTTTTTCCTGTTTTTCTTATTATGTGGGGTGGGGGCACATGTACCACAGCTTGCATGTGAAGGTCAGAGGACAACTTTCAGGCGTTCTCTCCTACTGTAGAATTCAGGGATCAAACTCAGGTCATCAAGGCAAATGCTTTTTACCTGCTGAGACATCTCACTGGCCCAGAATAAAAAAATTTTTAATATTTTTATTTTATATGTATGAGTATATTGCCTGCATGTGTGTAAGTGCACATGTGTTGCACAGTACCCAGAGAGGTCAGAAGAGGGTGTCAGATTCCCTGGTACTGGAGTCAAGGAAGGTTGTTAGCCACCAGGTGGGTGTTGAGAATCAAACCCTGGTCCTCTGCAAGAGCATTCTGTGTCTTTAACCTCTGTGCTGTCTCTCCAGCCCACAGAGTAAATTATTTTAAAAACACAGAAAAGCATTTTTTAGGGCTCAGTTGGTAAAACTTGCCTTACAAACATGAGGACCTGAATTCAATCTCTACAGCCCACATAAAAATGCCTGGCATGGTGGCTTGGGAGGTAGCAACAACTAGCCTAACTGGAGGGCTCCTCCTGTCTCAAAGGAGGTGGATGGCATTTCTGAGGATGACACCTGAGGTTGTCCTCTAGCCCCATACACTTGTGCATACATAGGCACATGCACTTGCACACACACACACACACACACACACACACACTTGTTTTTGGCTAGACATGGTAGACACACGCACACGCATACACACACACACACACACACACACACACACACACACACGCAATTTTTTTTGGCTAGACATGGTAGTATACACCTTTAATCCCAGCACTGGAAGGCAGAGACAGATGAATCTCTGTGAGATCGAGGCCAGCCTAGTCTACATAGTGAGTTCCAGGCCAGCTGGGGCTCCAGGGAGTTCATTTTTAAAAAGAGTAACATGTTTGAAATAAGTATACATACATAGGTATAAAGGAATAGATGCAATTAAATACTGAAATTGTTAGATTGGGCTTTTAAAATCCATTCCTCACTGGGCCTGTAATCCCAGCTATTCAGAAGGTTAAGGTAGGATTACAAAATCAAGGCCTGCCTGGAATATAGAGCAAATTCAAGGTCATCTTGGGCAGCTTAGCAAGATCCTGGAGAGATGGTTCATTGGTTAAGAGCATTGACTATTCTTGCCGAGGACCTGGGTTCAATTCCCAGCATCCACATGGCAGCTAACTGTCTGTAACTCCAGTTCCAGGGGAATCTGACACCCTTTTCTGATCCCCTCAGGCATTGCATGACATGAGTGTACTTACACACATGCAAGCAAAACACACATAAAATAAAAATAAATATTACAAAAATATATTTTAAAAAGCCAGGCATGGTGGCTCATGCCTTTAATCCCAGCGCTTGGAAGTCAGAGGCAGGCAGCTCTCGGCGAGTTTGAGGCCAGCCTGGTCTACATAGTTCCAGGTCATCT